GATGGAGTCAGGGATGTGGACAGGAAGAGGCATGGGCCTGGCGCACACCAATACATCTCATCCTCTGAGGAGGTGGCCCGACGCTGTGTGCCACTCTGGCCTGCGCACACCTGCACGGGTGTGCACCCCACCCTTGCACAACACACAGCAGGGGTGAGGGCTGCTCAGCAAAGAAGGGCTTCACTTTGGTCTGACTGTCAGTACGAAAGAGCTCTGCCGTTTGCCCATTTGTAAAATGAAGGACTCATAAGGTGCTTTTCAGATTTAAAATTCTACAACTTGTAATTCTATAAAAATAATGTGGCAAGGTCACTGCTTAAGTGAAAGAGCTGGTGTCATTTATTAGGAGGAAATTAAGAACTAAACACAAAATGGCTGAGCTGGTATCATTATTCAACCACAGCTACTGAGTGCCTCTATTGAGTGTTCATATTTTCTAAATCAAAAATTGGGACAGAGCCCAACAAAGGATTTCTTCTGAATCTATGAATTTATTTGACAAGTTTTTAAAAGGCATAAAAATTAAATCACTCTTAGTTATACATCAAATAAATTGCCTCAACTTAAGAGAATAAAAGTGCATGAAATAAGGACCTATCTGGGAACTCTGGGACAGAGATGAGCCTCTTCCAGCTGCTATCGGGCGCTACACAGGAAATGGATGCAAAAGGCCCCTTCCCTAGCTACTTATAATGTGCACAACTGAGAAGGTGTAAGTAACAGAAAATCACATTTATAGGCATATCTAGTTTTTGCCATGAAAAAAATACTGAAATCTTCTAAATCTACAAAAGAAATAATATTTTTCCATCAACTTTCAATTTCATTTAGAAATCCGTAATCCTTTATTTTTATGCATTATACTACCAGCCCTCAAGAAGATAATAAAACAATCTTAAATTAAAAAAATTACACTATATTTCCAGAGGCTCTTTATCTTCATTTCTAATTCAGCATTGATAGTTGGTAGCTTACAATAGCTTAAGATTCTCTATCTTGACGTTAGTAAAAAATACTTTTGCAAACTGAATAATAAACCCTTAAAGTATATGCGTGAATATCACATATGTGGGTTTTCAGTTCTGTAACATCTATACAGAATATGCCAAAAGTACAGGTCTACATTTTCATATTTTATGTTGCTGTATCAAATATGGAACCCTGGTGGAGCAGTGGTTAAGAGCTCGGCTGCTAACCTAAAGGTCAGTAGTTCAAACCCACCAGCTGCTCCTTGAAAACCCTATGGGGCAGTTCTACTCTGTCCTATAGGGTCGCTATGAGTCGGAATTGACTCGATGGTAATGGGTTTGGTTTTGGGTTGGTATCAAATACAGTAGTATAAGGTGAGTCAGTGTTGATATGGTGACCAAAACAATACTAAATAATGAAGCATGGCACGCTCAATATTGACGGGTGTGCTGTATCGAGGGACTTCACAAGGGTATTCCAGTTCAGTAGCACAGCAACAGGTAACCAAATTTTAACAATGAATTGGGAGGAAAGTTCAGTGATGTTTATCCTCCCAAGCTTTGAAAGGAGGTAGTTCTACTTTTCTATTGTCAAGGGTATTTTTAACTGATGATGTTGTATTATTTATATTCTAGGCAATTAAATATAAATTACTCAGAACTCTCTGTAACACTTCTTCCTTGAACAATTATCTGGAGTGCTAGATGATTTTTTTTTGAAGATCACCTAGGAGACCGACGAAGGCAAAGACAAGGAAATTCCAATGAGATGGGAGAGACTCTGGGGGGATTCATTTCTTAAATGTTACCTTACTGTAGCTCTTCCTCTGTGTACTCATAAACATAAAATTAATTCAGTGGTGAAACAGTCTTATTGCTGATATATCTGTGCTCTAAAAGAATCCAGTTTAATTTCTATATAATAATATACCCTCATTTGTTATAGTGATAAAAAAATGACAATAGAACTATTTTGGAAAACTGTGTTTTGAAAGATGTATGTGCTGTGCTATATTCTCTCAAGGGCATTGAAATCTAAGCAATTTTCTTGTATTATTAATGGTTGCCACTATATTATTAATAATACTTTTGAAACTAAAATGTAAATTATTAGGAAATATTTAAATCTATGGCTGTAAAGGTTATACAGCAGCTAAAATTATGTGATTTTTTCATATCTTTTAGTAAATATAATATAGAAAAATATCTACAGGTACATAAACTACTCCAGGAAGATCTAGAGTATTTCACTTAATACAAAAAAGCCTTTTTATTTTTAGAAAATAATCATATATTTGTTATTACCCTTACAATTACTAGTATTGCTTTTATGGTTTTTGAAATAAAATAGATGTTATCTGTGTGTGTGTGTGTGTGTGTGTGTGTGTGTGTGTGTGTGTGTGTGTGTGTGTGTACGTTGTTTTTGTTAGTTGCTGTTGAGCTGGCTCCAATTCATGGTAACCTTATGTATAACAGAATGAAACGTTGCCCAGTCCTGGGCCATTTTCATGATTGTTGGTATGTTTGAGTCCACTGTTGTGGATTTGATATGTGTATACACATACATACATATACATATATACACACACCACATAAAGGAGTTAGGGAAGTTTACAGTATGTAATACAGCAAAGAGAAAAGGAAGAAAACTGGGGGTGTGATGACAAGGTAAGGAGTACAGGAGACATAAGTCATAATTTACTAAAGTTAGGCAGGAAATTTGGCTTTGAGCTGCCTAATAGTTGCCAAAGAAAACTTTTTAAATTAACACTGATTATATGAAAACAAAACATACTAATTCTTAGGACAAAACAAATAAAAAATGCCTGTCATCCGAATCTTAAAGAAATGTCTTGATTGAATCTTCCTAGAGAGGACACTAACAATGTACTGAATGGCACTGACATGACCCCTACAAAAATTCACTGGAGGTTTTCTGAAGGCATCTTCTGGAGGGTTCCTCAATGCAAACTGCATGCATAATGCTGAAGAGGAACTTGGGAAGGCAACTCTGATTGCAGACAACGTGGTGCAAGCACGCAGCTCTCTGATAGTTTATCTTAATTTGGGAATATAAACTAGAATATTTAGCAATAAACAGACTGCATGTCTTTTAAACTAGCTTCTAAGTGTCCAGTTTTTCTCAACTGTATTTCAGATAAAAGCCGGTTAATTAACAGTTGAAGTTACAGTCTTCAGCAGGCATCCTGCAATGCTGTCTAAGGGCAAGTCTTTAAAAACTAACGGTGCATCACCAGAATGCATGGGTTGAAGGAATATCTTCAGGTGTTTCGTTAGAATTTCTGAGTTTACTCAATAAATAAACAAAAGAGCACTCAAGGACCCAGGATTTTACATAACAGAACATGGACACAGGGAACAATGACTCAGGTTTTGTTTTTCTAGATTTTGGATTATTCGAGTATTTGTTTTCAAACTTTAGTGTTTGCATCACCAGAGGAGGCTGTTAAATGCAGCTTCCCAGGCTTCATGAGCAGATAAGCTAAGGCAGTAACTCTCAGGTGGAGCCTGGAAACCAGGTAATTCTCTTGAATGGGGTCCAGGAACAACTCTTCTAGACCATTAATCTAGAGCATAGATTTTAGACCATCTTTCTCTCGCTTTTGAACATCTTTCTTTATAACACCTACTAGAACATGACATGGAATAAGAAGGTCAGAAACTCAAAGTTGATGCTGTTTGTTATAAAGTTTTTACAAAATATTTAGTAGAGGATTAAGTTGAAACTACTGGCTAGTTCATTCTTTTAATTATCTGTAGATCATTCATTCAATATTATTTGAGCTCATGCTATGTACTGGGCATCATTTAAGGTGGTAGGGATTTAGTAGCGAAAAAGAGGGACATGGTCCCTCCTCTCTAAAAACATCATTAGTTCTTCCCAGAGTACCTAACAGAGAGGGAGCACTCAATATATGGTTTTAAATTTCACCCTTCTATCTGTCTCCTCAGTTCTCTCAAGTAATAAGCACTGAATGTACTTAATTCCATACTTCCTTGTGTGAGCTACTCCCCAACTTGTTCCTGAATGTCCGAAAATCTCTAAAACTAGAGTCAAATTGAACTTGTTATGTAGCTACGAGTAAATGGCTGTTTTGTTTTCTATGAAAACAATTATCTTTAACAGATTTAAATATTATTTCTATTGACTACATGGACATGAAAAAATGTTTTAACAGAATGTGCCTCAATCTATAAACAGTTTGAGCACTAAACTTAAAACTACTTTGAAAGAAAAAAAAAGTTACTACACTTTGAAGTCTTCATTAATATAAAAGTCTTCATTCTATAACAATTAACATGCTATACAAAACATAAAATTCTTAGTTATAATTAACATATGCAACTTTGTTGATAAATAGTGTTAACTGCTCTTGGCTTCTTTTCTTGTTTTTACATAGGGAACATACCCACACTCAGTAGGACATAAAGCAAATACTGGCTTTTACATTAAAAAAAGAATTTACCAGTGAAAATGTGGCATAAAGGTTACTATTGTCTGAAAAGTACATCTTCTCCCCTAAGTCAGAAAGTTCGTAATGAAATATTAATTTGAGTGATGGATAAAAGACTATAGGCATATTCAGTGGATGCTACCTCTTATTCATTTAAGTTTTCAGCAAAATGTTTCACAAACTAATTTCAAATAGCTGATTTTACTATACTTGTGCTTTTACTTTAATCTCTCTCAGTTGTTTTAGAAAGTACCAAAAACCAAACCCATTGCCATTGAGTCGATTTAGACTCATAGCGAACCTACAGGTCAGAGTAGAACTGCCCCATAGAGTTTCCAAGGAGGGCTGGTGGAGTCAAACGACTGACCTTTTGGTTAGCAGCCACAGCACTTAACCACTACACCACCAGGGTTTCCATAGAAAGTAAACAGATAATAACTAATAAGTGGATTAGTAACTGAGCAAGACTACTACTAACCAGAGACAAAAAAGATTTTTTAAAAATTATTTGTTACTGGAAATTATTAATTTTGCATGCTATTAAAGGCTTCTTTACCTGCAGATGGCTGGGAAACATTCTTGAAGACCTTTCTTTTTAACCAAAGATCCTTCAAGGCAATACATAATGATGTCCATGACCTTTTATGGAAGAACACACAGATCAAAACTAATTTCAAATACTTAATTTTCTGAAATTTAAATTATTAATTTATGCCTCATTTGCCCAGGACAGTTCTAGATAGTGTTGTTTAACATTTACAAAAACAAATTTAAACATGTATATACTACAAGCTATTCTTTTAACACTGAATAAAATTTTAAGACAGTGTAGTACAAATAAGGAGTTAGAATTATTTATTTTAAAGGCATTTAATATTTATGTACAGTATTGGTAGCTTATATTTAAGCAGACTATACATTTTGTTTTATTTATAATGACAGATGTCAGTGAGAGCAGAACCTTTAAAAATTACTCTAGTACAGACAACTTCCATGTGAATGTGAATGGACATAGCATTCATTTTGAATTTTGAGGAAATTTAAATAAAGCCTCCAGAAATGGTAGAAAAGTTAATTGATTTTAATTAATACTCACTCATTCACTCACTCACTCACTCAAAGACATGCTGTAAATACAGATGCTGATTTACATTATTGAACTGGAATATTTAAGTCTGTTGATGTAACACTTAAAATAAGATATTCTTACCTCCACAAGAAGATCCACAACATCTGTGGGCATCTTTTCAATGAGAATTTCAATGACTCTCAGAATTTCTCCTTTAGCTCGTGCAAGAGCTGTAGTGTGAATATTCTGCTGCGGTTGGGTGTTTGCCGCAAGAGCAGTGTGTCTGTGTACCTATAAAAACATTTTCACACTCGAGATATGACTGACATTTGATACAGTTTTACATTTCTAGCCACTGGTTTCTTTTATTTTTCCTTACTAATAAAATAAAAATTAAAAAAGAAACAACAAAAACAAACCTCTTAGGATAGGTCAGGATACACTTTTGATTGCAAAAAGAAACTATTTACATAATAAGAATTCAATAAGCTTTGTCTAATAAAATTCTCTACATTCTTGGGTATTATATGAAAACTTAATACAATATTATCCTGGCATTTTTAAAAAGAGACAGATTGAAGATATGTGAATTCGTTACATTTGGCACTGAGGTGGAAGATGGGATAAGTACTAAGTTGTTAGAAGCATAAGTACTGGCTCTCAAGTAATAATACATTCCTTATTCTCAAGTTATAATAGTAAATGACAAGCATATGGCACTTAATTCTATCCCAGGTACCATCAAGCTGGGAAATCCAGATTAATATGCCTCAAAAATAAGGAACACTGTAAATAATATAAATTCAGTGTGATCTTTTTTCCCATACAGGTTGTAAGCTTTACAGTTCAGAGCAGAAAGACCAGTAATGCGTGTTGGAGGAGACCTACAGGGATGGGGGCCGTGGAGGAGTGGATGCAGGCATGAGGGGGCAGCTATAACAGTGAGCAATACGTTTACTCTAATACTCTAAGAGCAAAAAGTGAAGTGGAAAACTTGTTTTAAAAAGGTAATATATGTGGACTACTACACTGAAATATTTTTTAATTACCTTCCTAACCAAATGCTGGAGTAGAATAAACCCAAAGCATGGGTATTCTAACATTTCATTTAAAAAAATACTCAAATGTAAATGGTACAAATTAAATTCAAAAACATAATTGATATAAGCACTTGTTTACTCCCTTTAAAAGGCAGTTTAATGGCCAGCATTTATAGGCCCTGTATATGTGGTCAGACTGATGCGAGGTTACTCAGTATATTCAGTAGTACTACCTGTGCAATTCCACTGATGAGATAAAATGGTGAAAATTTTCTATAGCTAATAAAACTGTTCATTTATGCACACATGTACTATATAAATGTAAATATATAATATACCCAGAAATATATAAACCATAGATACATATGTATGATTTTAAATACAGTGAAACCTCACTATAACACTTTGCACTATTAGAAAAACAAACACCCTTAGTTCTACAAATTTATTTTAGATATGAATTCAAAATCCCATTGTCTCATATAAACATATAAATTGCTGTTAGGACCTTTCTTCCTCCCTTCTAGTATCTTCACGTCACAAATATTTACTGCATGCCTGTTAAGAATGGCTCTGGGGCAGACGCAGGCCCAATAGGTTTCAGGCTATCAGGGTAGACTCAGAGGGTATTTATTTAGTATCTTAAAAATTCATCATAGCTACAGGAAAAACAGCTCAGACAGATCCCATACCCAATGGACACTAAGTCTGCATATTATTCATGCAGAGATGTAACAAACCTTTAAACAAAAAACTAGAGGCTTATCATCGTTTCCTTTTTCTCCCCCTACTAAGACTTTCAAGGCTCTTTAGTGGAAAGATCCTATAATTGGTTCATTGTTCTTTACTAGTTTTTCAGTTAGATGTGGGCAATTAGTTAGAACATTAAGAATGTTGGAATCGACTGGCATTCAAGTCTTTATCTGTGACATGTAATAGGAAAAACAATTAGCAAGTTTATGACTTACATTTTTGTTTACAGTTGAAGAGCCAGTGCTAAATAACAAGGTTAGTTTTTGATTACAGGTAGATACTTATACTAGTAAAATGTGAATACCTTTAATAGATTTTAATTTGCATAAGCCAACTATATTCCAGGCGGAAAAATTATTATCAAATATTTACAAGTAAGTGAATTAACTTGGACAACAGAAACGGACACAAAAGCACAGGTAGGAAGCACTGGGTTTCTGTCTGTGGTGATGAAAAATTTGGCAATGGATGTTGGTGATGGCTGCACAATATGATTAATGTAATTTGTGTCACTAAATTGTATATGTGAAAAATCTTGAATTGACAAATGTTATGCTATATTATAGATGGATCGTGGCTGAAGGCAGAGAATACCAGAAAGATGTTTACTTGTGTTTTATCAACTACTACACAAAGGCATTCGACTGTGTGGATCATAACAAATCACGGATAACATTGTGAAGAATGGGAATTCAAGAACACTTAATTGTGCTCATGCAGAACCTATACACAGACCAAGAGATAGTCGTTCAAACAAAACAAGGGGGTACTGCATGGTTTACAATCAGGAAAAGTGTCCATCAAGGTTGTATCCTTTCACCATACTTAATTCAGTCTGTATGCTGAGCAAATAATCCGAGAAGCTGGACTATATGAAGAAGAACGTGGCATCAGGATTGGAGGAAGACTCATTAACAACCTGCGATATACAGATGACACAACCTTGCTTACTGAAAGCAAAGAGGACTGGAAGCACTTACTGATGAAGATCAAAGACTACAACCTTCAGTATAGATTATATCTCAACATAAAGAAAACAAAAATCCTTTCAACTGGACCAATAAGCAACATCATGATAAACAGAGAAAAGATTCAAGGATTTCATTTTACTTGGATCCACAATCAACATCCATGGAAGCATCAGTCAAGAAATCAAATTATGTACTACACTGGGCAAATCTGCTGCAAAAGACCCCTTGAAAGTGCTAAAAAACACAGATGTCACCTTGAGGACTAAGGTGTGCCTGACCCAACCCATGGTATTTTCAATTGCCTCATATGCGTGCGAAAGCTGGCAATGAATATGGAAGACCAAAGAAGAATTGATATATTTGAATTATGGTGTTGGCAAAGAATACCGAACATACTATGGACTGCCAGAAGAATGAACAAATCTGTCTCGGAAGAAGTACAACCAGCATACTCCTTATAAGTGAGTATGGCAAGACCTCATGTCACGTACTTTGGACATGTTACCAGGAAGTAGAAGGACATCATACTTTGTAAAGGAGAGGGTCAGTGGAAAAGAGGAAGACCCTCAACAAGATGGACTGACACAGCGGTTCCAACAGTGGGCTCAAACACAGCAACCATTGTGAGGATGGTACAGGACCAGGCAGTGTTTTGTTCTTTTGTACACAGGATTGCTATGAGTCGGAACCAACTCAACGGCACCTAACAACAACAACATGCTATAATATATACTTATATACATATA